ATGCCATCCTTCCCCAGACAAAGAACTGATGGTGTCTGAATACAGATTGACACATACTTTTTTTTTAACCTTTCTTTATTTTTCTTGATTATTTTTTTGGGTTTTCTTTTACAACATGACTATAATGGATATGTTTTGCATGATTACACATGTATAATCCATAACAAATTGCTTGCCTTCTTAATCAGGAGTGGCAGGGTGGTGAGGGAGGAAAGGAGAGAATTTGGAACTCAAAATTTTAAAAACAAATGTTAAAAATTGTTTTTACATGTAACTAGGGAAAGCTGAAATACTAAATAAATCAAATAAATAAATGTTAAAAAAAAAAAAAAAAGAAAGAAAAGAAATGGCAACAAGCCCCAGGTCCATTTTTAGTAGCCCCAGCTGTGGCCTGATTGAGAATAGCACATCTGTACGTGGAACTGAGCTTGTAGAAATGCAGAAGGAAATACCTTTTGCCAAAGCCAGCTCCATTTGCCACATGCCCATTCTCCTCCCCATCCCCCAGTTCACCAGGAAAACCATTGTTTGTAGATGATCAAGCATTTCTATGTGCGAAAGAACACAGAACAGGAAGTGGTCAAGGGGGAAGTAGACTGCACATCTTACTTTTAAGGACCTACGTCCTCTCACAGTGAGCCATTTGCAGAGAAGGGCCGGAATGTGCCAACTAACTGGGAGTGTCTCTCCAGCATGTGGTGGCTGAGCAGATGCTATTTTTGAGACAAGCTGCACTGATTCCAGCCTGCTAGCCATTTGAAAGCAAGAAATATGGGTTTAGAAAGTACGCTAACTTCAATGGGTGAGATAAAAAAATTGGTTTGGGGCCAGAAGAGCCGGCCCCTCTGGTTCAGAGGGGTATGAACCACATGAATTCCTGGTATGTCTGTAAAGAACAGAACAGAACAGCCACACGAAGTTTTTGGTTTATTGTAAGAAACATTTAGAAATATTAAAGAAACAAATGTTAAAAATTGTTTTTAACATGTAATGAGGGAAAAATAAAATATTAAATAAAAAATGAGACAAAAAAAAGAAATATTGAAGAAATATGGAATGGGCAGGAACTTTCCCTTTACTGGATGTATTCAAGCAGACAGCAGATGACTCCCTATCAGGAAGACAGTGGAGGGGACCTCTCTACTGGGCAGGAGGGGGGATTAAAACTCTGCAATCCCTTTGAGCCCTGAGATTTTTAGAGTGGAGAGGGGTTTCTTATTCCAGGATGGGTTAGATTAGTTGGTCTCTGAGATTCTATAATTATCTGTTTTATATAGTAGTCATGCCTAATAGCAGAGTGGCATAGTGGATGAGGTAGTGAATTTGGAGTCAGAAGACTCAGGGTTAGGTTTTGCCTTAGCCCTTTGCTAGCTCTGTGACCCTGAGCAAGTCAAGCAATCTCTGTGCCTCATTTTCCCTATTTCTAAAATGAGGAGGTTGGATTTGATAACCTCTAAGGGCCTTTCCAGCTCTAAATCGATAATGCTTAACTAATAGCAGCTAACATATAAACAGTGCTTTAAGGTTCGAGATATGCTTTACTCTTTATGTTGTTACTTCATTTGGGCCTCAGAATAGCTTTGTGAGGTACGTGCTATTATTACTCTCATTTTACAGAAGAAGAGTTGAGGTTTGGAGAAGTTAAGTGATTTGCTTAGGGCCATGTGAGTACATGTCAGAGGGAGGATTGGAACCCAGGTTCTCTTAACTCCAAGTTCAGCAATCTTTCCACTGTACTACCTTGTCTTAATGAGTCTAGTGTCCTCAAAACTAGAATTTCATTTAGGAAACTTTATAGAATGTCCCGTGACTCCAAGTGAGTGAGACTTGTTGCCCTGAAAATCCATCTTCTTCGCATCAATATTCTCTGAGGGTTGTTATGTGGTTACAAAGCATGGAATATCATGATCTTATAAAAATCAAACTTACTGATGATCAATGGAAAGAGATACAGTAGGTATAAGTAGGCTGGACCAAAGATGGTATTTTTAAGAATAGGTTATATCTACAAAAGTGAGGCCAGTCATGTAGAGAGAAAGAGAGAGAGAGAGAGAGAGAGAGAGAGAGAGAGAGAGAGAGAGAGAGAAAACAGATGCATAGCCTAAGGGAAGGCCTGCAATGTGTTAAATGGATTTGAGGATTTACACAAAGATGTGGGCAAGAATCCTAGAAACCCATATTTAGATCTGGAAGTAACTTCACAGGCCTTCTAATTCAATCCCCTCATTTTACTGAAAAGGAAATTTACATTCTCACTCTATGCCTGGCACTTGACCAAACACAGGGGATACAAAGAAAGGCAAAAACATGGTCCCTGACCTCAAGAATTTCTCGTACTAATGGGGGAGACATGGAAAAAACTGTACATATAAAACATTCGTACAGGTGGAGCACCTTGGTGGCACAATGGATAGAGAGCTGGATGGGAGACAAGGAGATCAGAGTTCAAATCCAGCCTCTGAGACTTACTAGCTGCCTTCCCCTGGGCAAGTCACTTAAGCTTCATTTGTCTCAATTTTCTCATCTGTAAAATAGGGATAATAATAGCACTTACCTCCCAGGGCTGTTGTGAGGATTAAATGAGATGATATCTGTAAAATACCTAGCACAGTGTCTGGCACATAGGAAACACTATATAAATATTAGCTATTACTATTATCATATGTTTATGGAAGGTCATCTCAAATGGAAGCGGGGGGGGGGAGGGAGGTGGGACAGGGAAAGGGGGAAGACTGGGAAAAGCCTCCTGGCAAAAAGTTGGATTTGAACACAGTCTTGACAAAAGCCAAGGGAAGCCAGGAAATAGAAGTAAAAGTAGAAGGAAGGGGGAGGGAGCAGGGGGAGGGGGGGAGGGGGAGGGGGGGAGGAGGGGGGGGGAGAGAGAAAATTCCAGGCATGTGAGCAGCCAGAGAGCAGCATAATAAAAATGTAGAGAGAATAGCGTATACAGAAGGAGAGGGTGTCTGACAGCATCAAAGGCCACAGAGAGGTCAAGGAGGACAGGATTAAGAAAAGGACATTAGGTTTGGCAGTTAAGAGATCATCAGTAACTTCACAGATAATAGTTTCTGTTGAATGATGAAGATGGCCAGACTTTAGTCAAAAAGAGAGAGGAGAGAAAGTGAAGTACTGAGTGTGCACAGCTTTCTCAAGGAGTTTAGCCATGAAAGGGAGAAAAATATAGGATGTTAGCAAGCTGAGATGCATAGGATCAAGTGAGGATTTGTTTTAAAGATGGAGGAGACGTGGGCATGTTCACAGGCAAAAAGGAAAGAGCCGGTAGCTAGGGAGATTGAAGATTAGCAAATGAGTGGGGGATGACAGAGGAGCAATCTGCTGGAGAAGTTGAGATGCGATGGGATAAAGAGAGCACATAGAGGGTTCACCTTAACAAGGAGAATGACCACTTGTGAAATGGGTGTAGGAGAAAATGGTAGGGGAAGAAATCTGAACGATAGGAGATGAACAGGAGAAAAGAAGAAAGAGCTACTCACAAATGACTTGTTATTTTGGTGAAGAATGAGGCAAGCTTCTCAACTAAGAGTGTGGGATGAGATGCTATCCTGAGAGGCTTAGGGAGAGATGAAAGCCTTTGGGATAGCCATTCTTATGAGCAGGATATTGAATTGATTAGGGAGGCATAAAAGGATTGCCTTTCTGCAGTGAAGCTGAGATTTTATAACATAAATTTGTAGTGATCCCACTCAGCACTGCCATCACCTCCTTTCCATGGTTTGCCAGGAATTCTAGCACAGAATGGTTGGACAAGTGATTTAATCTTCCGGGATCTCAGTTTCCTCCACTATAAAATGAAAGGGTTAAAACAGATGACTCCCAATGTCTTTTCCAGTTTTAGACATACGATCTTAAGATCCTTTCTCTTCTCCACTCAAGGATGTTACTACATCTACATCCCTACACCACCTCCACCAATTCAAACAAACAGTAAATCAATAAACATTTACTAATCATCTACTATGGCGCCACTAGGTAGTGTAGTGGATAGGAGAACCAGGTCTGTAATTGGGAAGAGTCATCTTCCTGAGTTTAAAGCTGCCCTCAGACATTTACTAGCTGTGTGACCCTGGGCAAGTCACTTCACCCTGTTTGCCTCAGTTTCTTCATCTGTAAAATGAGCTGAAGAAGGAAATGGCAAACTACTCCAGTATCTTTGCCAAAAACAAAAACACCAAATGGAGTCAGGAAGAGTCAGAGACGACTGAAAACAACTGAACAGCCTAATCGTCTACTATGTAACAGACACTAGAGATACAAAGACAAACATGAAACAATTTCTGCCCTCAAAGAGCTTACATTGAATCAGAGAAACAATGTGGACACACACTTTCCCCACCCCATCCCAAATCCAAGGATCAGAAAGCTCCAAGAAAAGGGACACCTACAGGAAGATGTCTTGTAACTGTCAAATCCTTCCCATTCCTGTAATTATTCATTGTAAAGGTCTCTTAAAATAGTAGGGAAATGTATATTTTTCAATATCAATATAAAATATATCCTTCACTAAAGTTTAGCATAGGGGTAGGGAATCCTTTTATTAAGGGGATTTGTTCTGTGAGGTTTGAATTCAGTCAAAGGGCTGCACTTGAGGACCTAGAGGGCCACATGCTGCCTCGAGGCCCAAGACTCCCTACCCCTGGAACATCTCACTGTGGTATAGTGTGGTGTGGCAGTGATCTCAGGGTCCTGAAGACTACCAGCCAATTTCACATTCTGGCAGACTTAACCAAGCTGGAAGGACTTCAGACACAGGTCTGATGAGTGCTGTCTAAGGATACCTTGTGGACGTTGGCAGGCTTATTACCAGAAAACAGATCACCAGCAGACAGAAGTTTTTGTCCAGGACATCTCACAAAGACTTACTGCCAAAGGACAAGGGGGTTGCAATCTTCACTAGTGGAGAGAGAGGGTTCTCATCAGGAAAATCACAGAGCCTCCCAGTCTAGAGTAAAGCAAGCCTATAAAATAAATGCACTACTTACCCAACACATAAAGATACAAGATTTCACTTGCTGTAAGGTTTGATGATTCTATTTCATACTGGCCTTCGTCAGATGCCGTTAAATTCAGGATGGTAAAGCTCCCAGATTGGTCTAATCTTCCCCTACTTTGAAAGGGCCCAAAGTACAAATCTCCTCCATCCTCTTGCAATTCCGCTACTTTATCTTTCCCTTTTTTCCAGGTAATATCTTTAAACTCCATTTTTTGCAATGGTGAAAGTGTAACATTACTGTTCATGAGGCCAAATATCTTCACAGGTTCACACTTGCCCAAGCCTATGAAAAACAGAAAAAGATAGATGAGATAAAACCCCATAAACACAGTGATAATATAGTCACCCCTTCTGAGACCCCTCCCCTCACCCCTGCCTATATAAATGATCTCTAGTTTAGGGAGCCAACATCATTACCAACTGAACACTCACTATTTGTAGGGAACAGAAGGCATTAGATAACACCTGCCTGTAAGGGTTTTTTCCAGTCCTGTGAGGAAAACGAGATGAACCCAGAAACACTATCATGGGTAGTGTTTTCAGAACACACTGATAAGCCACCATTCATTCAAGTACTTCCCGCTTTCTGGCACACTATTCAGTTCAAAGGGAAATTTCCAGGTTTCAAAAATGGGTGTTAAACTTTATTTTTCTTGTTCTTTTTTTTGGGGGGGGGGGCAACATGGCTAACATGGAAATGTTTTACATGATTTCACATGTATCCTATTGCTTGCCTTCTCAACGTATGGGACAGAGGGAGACAATTCAGAACTCAAGTTTTATAAAAGAAATATTAAAAATAAACAAATTACAAATTTGGGGTTTTTTTTAATGGGTATTAAAGCCAGATAATCAGCTGCAGTTTCTCCCGAGTATTATCAGAATTGAAAGAAGGAGGAGGCAGAAAAGAAAGTAGATTAAGAGAAAGGGGAAGTGGAAGGAAGAGGAGGAGGAAAATCTGAAGAGAATTAGTAAGGAGCCTTTTTCGAAGTCTTTTTGCATAGAAACAAACTTTCATGGATTTATTTATTCTTATTTCTCCATTTCTATTTTTTCCTATTCTATACTATCTTCTCATCAGTTGATGAATTACCCCAACATATAGCACTGGGTTTTGCAACCTTATAAAGCAGTGGTTTCAACCCCGATTCCAGAGGACTGAAGATGAAGCGGGCTAACCACCTGCTGGAGGGCTGCTAGGTGGCACACAGGACCTGGAGTCAGAAAAACCTGAATTCAAATCTAATCCCAGACTCTCACTAGCTGTGTGGTCCTGGGCAAGTCACTTAACCCTGTTTGCCTCGGTTTTCTCGTCTGTCAAATGAGCTGGAGAAGGAAACGGCAAACCACTGCAGTATCTCTGCCAAGAAAACCCCAAATGGGATCATGAAGAGTCTGAAATGACTGATCAACAACAACCACCATCTGCTGAGAAGGAAATGAGAGAAGAGTACACACTCAAGGTGCAGAATGAGACTGCACAGGCCATCTCCTATGTCTGCCTAGTTTGTATCAAAGGACTAGACTGGGAGAAAGACTGGAGCTACGATTTCACTGGTAGAGGCAACTCTTTGGCTGATGAATCCTTTTTTATGAGTGAGACAGGTCAAGACCCTCTCTTCAGTTTATTTGTTTAGTAAGTTGCCCAGAGCATTGGAAGATTAAATGATTTACCTAGGGTCACATGGCCAGGAAATATCAGAAGCAAGACTCAAACTCAGGTCTTCCTGAATCTGAGGCTGAATTTTTATCCACCATGCCATGCTGCCCCTATCATCAAAGCCATTATTAATAATACCTTCCTCGATCTCTGAAAATATAATTTAATTTAAAAAATAAAACCTGGCATTTCCATAATGCTTTAGATCCTGCGAAGGCCTTTTCAGACGCAATATAATTTGATTCCCCTGACAATCCTCCCAGGTAACCACTACAGATATTATCATCCCAATTTTATGAATGAGATCGAGGTCTTCTTGACTCCAAGTCTAGCAGTGTATTCACTCTGCTCGCTGATCACCCCTCAGACTGGACCCACAGGGTGCTGGCCATTCACTTTACCCAGTAATCTCAGCAAAATGTTCAACAGATCACAGCTACAGGGCAGCAGGACACACAGCTGGATTCTATGGTTTGAGAGCAAGATACAGAAAGAGTGATAAATGTCTCACCATGAGCTGCCATTTATTGTAACAGTTATTAGTATGTAAGTAATCTTATTGTACTGCTAATAGTAACTAGTATTGTAGCTAGCATAATACTGATAATAATAACCAGTCTTGGTATTATTATAGCTAGCATAATAACACATGACTAATTATAGAAGCTTTTCCATGGCTATTAGCATCAAAGAAAGGATATGGGGTTTTCATTCGGGCTCTGCCACTAATTGGGTCTATGACTTTGGGCAGCCTCCGGGCCTCATCTGCAAAATGGAGGAAGTTGGACTATAAGGAGATACTTAACCAGTCTTATAGTGAGTTGTATTTGTTTTGTTTAGTAAAGGAACATGGTACCAAGGATTCATAACTGAGAGGAACCTAGAAGCAATCCATTCTAACCCCTTTATTTTAGAGATGAGGAAACTAAAGGGGGAGGGGAGAGGCATAGCAATTATGTGCTGTGCCCAGGGTCTGGACAATTGTCTGTGGCAGGATTTGAACCCAGGTATTCTTTTTTTTTTTTTTTTTTTGGTGAGGCGATTGGGGTTAAGTGACTTGCCCAGGGTCACACAGCTAGTAAGTGTCAAGTGTTTGGTCTGAGGTAGGATTTGAACTCAGGTACTCCTGGCTTCAGGGCCAGTGATCTATCCACTGCGCCACCTAGCTGCCCTAACCCAGGTATTCTTGACTTCAAGGCTAATGACTTTTCACTCCACTATGCTGCCTTTCAATTTTGCCTTAATATTTTTACCAATTATTTGAATAAAGACATAGATGGAATGTTTATCAGATTTGTACAGAATGTCAAACATCGTCTCCCTCCCCCCACCACACATGTACTGTCATTATTAAAGAGTAACCCCTTTGAGAATGCCATCCCTTAATCTCTGCCACTACCACTGCTCCTAAGTACCAACCAAGTGCCACTGAGGGGAGAGGCAAACTAGCCATCTGAAGTAGCAAGAAACCCTGAGAAAGAGAAAAAAGGTGGCATGTGCCAACAAAGTCAAGCCACCACTGCTAACTCCTTTCATATCCTAGTGGAAACAGCACCCAAAAGTCCCAAGAGTAGGAGTGTCCCACCCGGGCCACCAGCTCTACTTCCAGTCTGGCCCTAAAGCCATTATCCAGAGAAGCAATCCTTATAGAGATTGGGCCTGACATTCCCACCACCACTAGCATCAACTGCTGACCAACTGAAGTAACCTCTAGAAACCAAGGAATAGCAGTGCCCCAAATGGACCTGGGCTCTTTTTCAGACCACCACATACCCCACAACCAGGGAGACGATCATTGTGAAGACAAGATCTGGCAACGACCTGTACTCACCATCAACATCCTCGTCATTGTCGAGTGGTTCAATATAACAGATATGGTTTTATTACTGGAAAGGACACTAAAGAAGGTATTTTACCATCTGCTCTATTCCTGCACCCTAAGGACCACCAAGCCTTTCCATCTATCCTATTCTATATGTTGCTTTCCTATATTAGTACATGAGCTATTTGAGAGTAGGGACTATCTTATTTTTTTTTTTTATTTGTACTCAGTGCTTTACACAGAGATGATGCTTAAGAAATGCTTCATTCATTCATTCATTCATTCATTCGACAATGACATGAAGATGGGGGCAGTAGTTAACATGTGTCAGGATGAAAAAGAGAGCTCCCTAAGCTGTGATGATCTCATTTTAATAAGAGTAAATTTAATAAGCAGAGTGATAAAATCTTATGAAGTTGAAAAAACAGCAACTAACTTCACACATATAAATGGGGTTGGGGGAGGTGGAGAGATAGGGAGGAATCACAGCTAGAAAGCAGTTTGTGGGAGGAATCACAGCTAGAAAGCAGTTTGTGTGGAAAAAGGCCCAGCCCTTTGATAAGACCGAAAGCTCCAGGAAGCACACAAAACAACTGTTATCTTGGGTGATGCTGAGAGTCAATAACTGGAATGATTGAAGAGATAGTCCCAAAGGCCTTTGCCCTGGTCATATCACTGCTCTAACCTTCTGAAGGTTTTAGTTCTGCCTGTCACATTTTAATAAGGTAATTAGTCAGTTGGAGACTGTCCAGACAAGGCAAGCAGGATGGTTAAGGACCACATGAGGAACATCTGAGAGAACCCAATGTGGAAGGACAGGACACCTGTCTGTTGGGCTCAGCACATGGAAGGCAGTCACAGACTCAGAGCTCGGAAGGTCATCAGAGGTATTTTAGGTTTAACTTGCACCAGATCAAGAATCTCTTCTCCAGCATAAATCCTTGACCCAGGAACATCCAGCCTTCACTTGAAGACCTTCAGTGATGGGAAAACCATTACATCCTTGGGCAGTCTATTCCTCTTTTAGATGCCTCTAATGGCTGGGAAGCTTTCCGAAATCTGCCACTTTGCACCCCTACTCACTGCTCTCTGTGGCCAAGCAGACCATGTCAAACCTCTCTTCCACATGCTAGATGAATAACTAAGGATGGCTATGATGTCCTCCCTCACTCCTCAAGTCTTCTCTTTTTCCAGGAGAAACATTCACAGTCCCTTTAACTGATCCTAGTCTTCAGCTCCCTCACCATCCCAATGGCTCTGTTGCTTTACAAACTGTAAGTAGATCAAGTACGTGTACTATAGACAAAGTAGGGTAAATTTACTTATGAGGAAGTAACACAGCTGAAGTGCACTATTGATTTCAATTAAAGCTCTGTTAGCCATTCATTTGCCTACATATACAAATCAAACTTGTTAGATTTTTAAAGACAGCCCAAGAAAACTTGCAGGCTCTGTTCCTGAGGCTTTTGGTCCCCAAAATAGAAAACCTTACATATTGCCTGTGTGTTATAAACACATGTTGAGATACGGATGAGATAAACTACCCTTAGATTTCTAAGCACAAAACTAATGAGGAACTGTTGTGAAGTTCACACAAAGCCTAACTTACCATATTCTGAGTTACGACAAATATTTCTCCTCCCCATATGGAAAAGAGGAGAGAAAGAATGAAAGAGGAGAAAGGAAAAAGGAGAGAGAAGGGGAAAGGGGGGAGGGAGGAGAGAGAGAAAAAGAAGAAAGGGGGGAGAACAGGGAGAGAGACAGAGGAAGGGAAGGGAGAGGGAGAGGGAAAGAGAGGAAG